AAAAAAAGTTCTGAAGAACGAAACATTTAAAATCTTCGCCTACGGTCATGATTAAAGCACAATAAACAACTTCACATCAATATTCGAAGTGTGAGGGTTCAAAATCATCCCTCTGTGCTAGTTGAATCACGAATGATTGTTCATGATAATCATTAAATTGTTCGAGAATGGATAATACAATTCAAGATTGATCTCTCAAACATTTGAAACCAATCCAAATCTGTCAAATTCAAGATCAAGAAATCAAATAATTGGAGAATTTAACCGTCATCATTTCTTGGTATCAAATATTATAATTTGTCACTATTATCCTTGTCTTTACGTTCTAAGGCATAGAAATTAGTGATGCAATATTATCCAGATTAAATTCCCAACTTATTACCAATAAACCTCATTTTTATTCTAACTTGTCAAAATTTAAAAAGTCGTTCTTATAGTGAAAAGATTCTCAAAATTCACCTAATCTAAATCGTGTTGGTACGTATATGCTCAATTCACCAAGGGAGGATATGAAATGCCTTTGGGCTTTTCAGTTGTTGAAAAGATAGGAGTGATGTTTGACTGCTTAGATTTTATGCTTGGTATCTGCTTCAGTTCTTCAAAAAGTCAATATGCTGATCCTTTATTTGCTTTCTTGAGTGAACGACTTGAACCTTAACTATCTATTCAACATTAGCCTTTTTGGCCAAACCGGAGAAATCAGCTTATTTTGATAAGTATTTTTTTTAAAAGTGCTTTTGAAAATAGTACTTTTGGAGAGAAGCAGTTTGTGTTTGGCTAATCGCTATGAAAAACACTTTTGAGCAATAATTTGTATTTGGCCAAACTTTTCAGAAAGTGCTTTTAAGTATCAAATTACGAATAAGGACATGAATAGATTTACTTAATAGTTAATATTATATGTAAATAAATAATCTTAAAAATTTGTTATTACTGTCAATAATTAAATCTTTTCATTTTATTTAAGTAAAATATGGAAAAAAAAATTAAAAGTACTTAATTCTTTTAATATAAGTTAAATATATTAAAAATCATTCAACAAATCTAAAAGCATTCACTCCTAAAGTCACTATATATTAGAAAGTTATCCTAAAAATAATAAGAAATATTTATACATTAATATCCTAAGTATTAGGTTTAACGGTTATTTTGGTATATACTATATTTTGTTAAGGGTATTTTTGGTAAGAAGAAAAGTCAAAACTGCTTCTGTTTCTGCTTCTGCTTTTGGGAAGAAGCTATTTTTTTCTGCTTCTCAAAAACTGCTTCTGCTTCTTCCCAAAAGCACTTTTTTCCCCAAAAAAAGCTTGGCCAAATACTTTAAGCTAGGAAAAAAAAAGTACTTTTGAGAAAAAAAAAATACTTTTGGCCTCTTGAGAAGCAGGGGCGGCTCAATGGTAAAGCCACTCAAGCAACTGCTTGAGGCCCCACATCTAGGGGGGAGCCCAAAATTTTCTGATACTGTATTAAATAGTTGTATCTGTATTTGATGAATATTTTAAAAAATATTTAGTATATAAAAAAAGTATATCTTTCATAAACAAGGAAACTATGAGACCAATAGAGATAATTTGGGAATAAGAATAGTAATTTAAGTGTGAATATAATATGTTTTGCCTCCTTTATATATTATTATTATTATTATCAGAGGGTCCACGTTACTTTTATTATTTTCTCTTTAAACTGATTTTTACTTAATCTTTTATATTCCTTTTAGCCTTTCCAAACTTATAAGTCCACTGTCTCATAAAATATTCTGTCAAATATGATAGTAGAAAGCAATTGCGAACTCTTTTTTTGTCAAGCTTTCCCGGAATTGCACCAAAAATATTGAACCAACAAAAGTAATATCAAATTATTTATGACTATTTGTTAAACCAGGTTCAATTGTTCTATACTTTTCTTATTACTTTGCATCTAAATTTTTTTATTTTTTGATATCTTTTGTTTGTAAGTATATGTATTATCTTTTTTAATTTATTAGAATTTTAATATGTCAACAAGAAAATATGAATCCGAATATTACAAATGCCAAAAAAAGAGAGAAGAATTGAAACTTTAATACAATCCCCAAAAATAGGAAGAATTTATGGTAGATAAACAAATCACTAATATAATTGAGGTAGAAGAGAATGAAATCCAAGAAGAAGAAGAAGTTGGTGAGAGTTTAACAAAAATCTTATAGAAAATCAGGAAATCCTAAAAGAATTGAATAATAATCTTAGAAAGTAGAAATATATATAATCCTAGTTAAGAAATCGATTATAAATAAATTATTAAAAATTTTACATCTCAAAAAGCTAGAAAAATTAACTTCAAAATAAAAATTTTATTAAATGAGTTTTTTAAATATGAAAAAACTTAGGCCCCTCGTTGAAGTTTGGCTTTAGGCCCCGGATACCGTTGAGCCGCCCCTGTTGAGAAGCTTGGCCAAACAGGCTATAATAGTGTGCTAGAGAATTTAGAGCAGCTTTCACAATGTTACAGAGTTAAGAGTACTAATTACTACAAACATGTCATCTTAGAAGGAGCTCTTCAACAAGCTTAAGTTTCTCAACCTTTATTGTTCCAACTTATTCTCGGCCTCTTAGGCTCTAAAATCTCTATGCAATTATTTTCAGTTGTCTAACGTCTTCGAAAGCACTTGGTACACTGTGGTTTGGGAACTTCTCTTTTCCTCCTCCTTCCCCCTTATATAACTTTAATTCTATTTTATAAAATTCGATTTGAAGTATAGAAATGTTGTCAAATGAATAAGCGGCTCCATGAAACATTATGAGATCCCTATTAGCTAATTCAATGAGATTAGGGAAATACATATCATGATCTACTGAATGTGATAGGATAAGGAACCTCTTTTCATAGTTAAATGCTAGAAACTATGTTCGCTCAGTTCATCTCATGAGACCATGTATGCACTTCTTACATATTGTTTGCATGGTTCATCTCTCTGGGTTTAGCTTAGGATGATTTGATTCATAAGGTTTTCTATCTTCTTTTTATTTCTTCTTTTGTGAATAAACTATGCGGATACTTATAATATTGCCTTTGTCAAGTAAGTGATGCTGATACATCATGAAACTTTATGCTTGAAAAATACTTAATGATGTTGCTCTTGGTGCCTCTTCTAACATAACACCCTCGAAAACCAGCTACTTCTTGATTTTCACAATAATTCTGTCAAGTGGGTCGATAACAGGCCTATAGATGACTTGCTACCTTCTCATTGTGTTTACTATATAGGATTTAGCAATTTTCATCAGATCTTGAACAGTTTAAAATTGCGTGCTAATTTTTCTTTAATCATTTTGGCACAGTTTGATGTATTCTACTACTATTATCCAAGACGGTTGGGTCAAGTTCTTTTTGTTGATGCTCCTTTTGTCTTCAAACCATTGTGGCAGCTTGTCAACCCTATGCTCAAGTCATACGCTTCATTGGTAAGACTTCCGTGCTATTAATTAAGGAGTTATTTCTTTTCTGACTTATCATATATATATTGTTTCTGTTTGAGTCATGGCTTATATCCAAAAGCTCGACGTATATTCTCACTTTATAGTAAACCATAGTTCATTATGATTTTATTTGAAGAGTTACACAAGGTTTTGAAGATATTCCCCTTTTGAACAGCTCTTCATGGTTGCTACTAATGCCTGTGTTTAGACGGACACACTGAGATAGTCTATTTACTGCCTCTAACCTCACTTTTCATGTCTGCTACATCTGTTTTTACCCGGAGCATAGCGAGATCTTAATGCACCGGGCTGCACTACATCTGTTTTTACCCTTATACAGTGAGCCTCTAGGCTAAAGCAGCATTTAAATATCCATATGATTTAGCGCCTTCGATGCATTATTCTTCAGTTTCTCTTATTTTCCAGCTCATGATTATTTAGTTCCGTCATCTGAACCTTTTATGTTTTGCCACTAATGAATTGGACAACATAAGAAATGACCATCTCAAAATCTGATTACATAATCTTCATCATGTCTAGGCAGAAAAAAAATAGTTCTATTTTCTCAGCTGTTTTGATATGTTATCATCTTACACTCTGTATGTGCAATTTGAAAGGTGAGATTTTGCTCAGCGAAGGATGTCAGAGAGGAGTATTTTACAGAAGAGACAGTCCCAGCTAGTTTTAGAAAATGAAGACGAGCACTTGGTACACCAAAACTTTGATATACGCAAGAATAGAAAAGACTGATTCTTGATATAAACCTAGCTTCGGCCAAGATAACGATGACAAGCTCAATGATGGAAAGGACTAATGAAGTTATCGGATTCTAGTCTTTTCAAATTTACATGAATGAGAAAGTCACTTTTCTCCGAAGCCTTGTGTTAGATTAGGACCATTTACAACAGCAATGATGTACCAAAACAAAAAAAGCGCGCACAATGTGCATGGTTTGATGCATATACAATAGACCTATGATGTCCCTAAGGATTTGATTCAACGGTAAAAGTTTTATAATTCAAATGTGCGAGCCAGAATTTAAAGTTTATGAGTTTTGAAATTATTATTGAACTCATAGCTCGTTTAATTACTGTGTTCGTAATTAAATATTTATACATATTTAGCGAATTTCTTAATACAAATACAGGGCCTAAAGAAAAGCTATTGAGTTCGCCCAAACCCATATTTGCTTCTCTAGCTCCGTCTCTAGTGGGTGCACGTGAGGCCTTGAATCAAGTATAGTATTCAAGTGGAGAAGCTTAGAGGTTACGACTCATTATCCACCTAGTTTCCAAACTGTAAAAAGAGGATTTATTGGTTTTCAAAGGGAAAAAAGTTATAAATGCAATGACATCTTAAGGGAAAGGAACTTGTGTGTCATAGTTTACAACTAAGCAAATGTATTCTCACGCTCTTAGAGCCACTGTTGTTTTTACTCCATAAGGTTTGGCTTGCCTCAAAATTCTCTAATTCAGCGCGTTTCGTCATGAATATAACCAATAATGTAAATTTTTTCCTGATGAAAAGGCTTCTTTCCATCTCAAATTGAAGTTTCAAAATAGTGCTCTCTTTTATAAAAACACTAGAAATTATCGAAACTCTTACCGTCTGCTATGTGTAACAACATTAACAATCATAAACAGATACATAATAGATACTGGTCCCAGTCAAGGATCAAAGTTATTAGTACTGGTCTAAGGTTTCCCAACAGAGGAAGAAGAAGCCAGCGACAAATTGTTAATCCTCTCAAGCGCAAGAATGAGAGCTTGGGTACCGAAATTGCCTTCACCATGAGCTTTAAGGGAGAGATAGAGCTGTTGAGCCAACGCCAGCCCAGGCAAAGCAAGGCCCATGTTCTGGCATTCCCTCAAACATATCCCCAAATCCTTTACAAAATGATTCACATAAAATCCAGGTTCAAAATCCCTACTAAGTATCCTGCTCCCATACAAGTCTAAAGATTTTGAGCCAGCAGCCCCTGTTGAAATCGCATTCAGATATATATTCAAATCCAAACCAGCCTTATGGGCGTAAATTAAACCCTCGCATAGTCCCACCATAGTCGAAGCAATAACTACTTGGTTTCCCAGTTTTGTGAACTGCCCTTTTCCAGGGGCACCCATGTAATAAACTCTGCCCAGAAGCTGAAACAACGGGTTAAGCCTTAAGATTGCGGATTCTTCTCCACCAGCGAAGATGGATAAAGCAGCATTCCGAGCTCCACGATCTCCTCCGGAGACGGGGGCGTCGACGGCGGAGCAGCCAGCGGCAGAGGCGGCGGAGTAAATTTCAACAGCCAGGGAAGGCTCCGAAGTAGTCATGTCGATGATGACACCACCGGGACGCAGACCGGAAAGAGCACCGGTGTTTGAGTCGAGGATGACGTGGCGAACGTCGGAAGGGTAGCCAACGATAGAGAAAACGACATCGGATTGGGAAGCGACGGCCTTTGGAGAGTCAACCCAGTGAGCTCCCATGGAGATCAGTTCCTGGGCCTTGGATGGTGTACGGGTGAAAACCGTGAAGGTGTAACCGGCATTAATCAGATGGGCGCACATAGAGCGGCCCATTACACCGGTACCGATCCATCCCAGACGAGTATTGGAAGGGTTAATGGCCTCGGTGGTGGCTGTTTCCATAGTACGGTGGAGATGGGTGTTAGTGCCGGCGGAGATGGTGAAATTCGCCTGAGGCACGTAACAGTGGAACTGATGGTTGGGAAGTAAACGGAGGAGCCGCATGAATCTCATCTTTGGTTCTCTGGCTTATCTTGTAGAAGAAAATGATCAAATTGGTCCTTTATGTATTGGGTTGCTTTCAGTTTGGTCCTTTATGTACTGGGGGCTGTTTCATTATGGTCCTCTATATTTATGTATGTGAAGAATAGGCACATATGGTCCTAAACCCTAAAACTTATAGAATTTTCAAAAATTTAGTGTGAACTTTAAGGGATCATTTGGTTGGTAGGATAAGGGATAGTAATTTTGAGAGTAGATGCGAGATTATTTTATCTCGCATTTGGTTGAATTTTTTTATTTCGAGATTAGCGATCTCAAAATTAATTTATATCACAATTGTGATATTATTCTATCTCACATTAAGGGTGGAACAATAACCCCGGGATTACTTAATCCACAGATAAAATACTACAATGACAAAGATACCCTTTTCAAGGCTCATCCTCTAGTCCTTTAAGAAATTTAAGGTTAAATTTAAAAATAAAAGTTTATTCCAACTTATTCAGTATACACCAAACACATGTTTTATATTATAGCCTGTAGTAGTCCAATGAACCAAATAGCTATCAAAAAATTATACCCACTAAATCTTTCAGCCACTATTTAATCCTCTTAATTTATTTTTGTCATTATAATTTTGGGATAACTGATTCCCCTACTAAACGACCTCTAACACTTAGTCCGCGTGCACCTCACATTAGTTTGGAAAATAACTAGAAATAGCGGACTCAATTCATCAGAAACTAGAAGGACGGCATCTCTCTCATAAAAAAGGGAAGACACCAGACCGCCCGTGCATTTTGTCTCGCCCTAAATGGAAAAGATCTCTTAGTTACGCTGCGCCCAACCAGAGTCCTCACGTCCGCTTTTCTCCGTAGGGAAGGAGGACCTAATGAATAAGTCTTCAATCAATCGTAGGCGGATGAGAAAATTGATTTGCCCTTTTCATCTGGTGTTCATTGTCGAGTCGGACGCTTAACCCCGCCCCAAACTACGGGGGAAGTCACACTTTAACTTGCTGCCTTGACAATCTTTGTGATCTAAACCTTTTCTCCAAAACTCGACAAAGGGGAAAAGTGTGTGTGATTTGTTGTAGAACTATTCCTTGACATTTCTCTACAACACTTTATTATTTATGTGAAAAAGGGCCAAAATTATCCATGGACTATTGGAATTAGTATAATAACACCCTCTGTCCATATATATATATATATACGCACTAGTCTTAATGTACGTGTTTTGCGCGTGTATCATACATTTATGAATATATAATTTTGAAAATATCTCTCTATCTCTCTTATATATACTATATAATGTGTTTGAGTTATAAAATATATATTTTTTTAAGTAATATGCCTAACATATGTCCTCGAATGCCTTATTATTATTGTTTTTTGGTATTGCCTCCGCGAATATTGAGTTAATAATTTATAAGAAATAATGTATAAAAAAATACAAGAAGTTTTCATTCTTTAGAATGAATGAAGAAAAATTATTTTGCCTTCGACTTTTTTATCCTTAGTGCTTCAAGTTTGCACTTAACCAATTTGATATAATCGATTTTGCTCTATCCCTAATTTCTCTTTTCGCCAATATTTTTCTCATGGAAATAAATTTATGTACCATATGAGTTTTATCAATTTGAAAATTAAATGTTCATATATGAATAGTTTTACAAAGAAGTTAATTGATTTTTTTTTGCTATTAGTTATAAAAACTTAATTATTTATTTTTTGAAAAAAGTAATTTATTTTTATTGAAATTCTTAGTATTAACTCATCCGAAATTTTAAATATTTAACTGTAATTATTTTATCGAATAAAAATTATTTTCAAAGGGTAAAATATCCTCTAATAGTTTACTTTGGACCATTGTATTTGTAGAATCATTAATGTTATTGACTTTTGTCAACCAGGTCTCTCTATCTCTCCTTTAAATTCTGAAATATTTCTTACTATAAGTTCAATATTATTAATGATAATAAAATTATCATGTAACTTTAGAGTTATGTTAGGTAATTCTTTGTCTGGACAAATTTTCTTATTCCTTATTTTCTTTCTTGAGTTTGAGAAGGATACACTTTTAAAGATCTTGAGGTTTAAACTCTACATCACTAAAATTAGTGTTATTGACTCTTGTCAACCACATCTCTCTATCTCTCGTTTAAACTCTGAAATATTTTTTATTATTAGTTCAATATTATTAATAATAAAAATTATCATGTAACTTTAGAGTTATGTTAGTTAATTCTCTGTTTAGACAAATTTTCTTATTCCCTATTTTCTTTCTTGAGTTTGAGAAGGATACACTTTTAAAGACCGTGGGGTTTAAACTTTACATCACTAAATGGGGCAACTTGGTAAGTAGTATATTTTAAAAATATTTATAAAGTTTAAAATATTGGGCTAGGAATTTTTATATATATATATATATATATATTGAGTTGCTACATATTAGGTATTTTTACCTAGTTCAAATAAAAAAAGCATTAATGATCAAAATATTTTAAATTTCCAACTCCTAAATATTAGGATTTCAAATTTCTAAATATTTTATTAAAAAGCCTAAATAAAATTTTAGTCCAATGTGAAATCAACACTAATTAAAAAGTAAGGAGGTGAACGACATCATACCCAAACCATAAGTTCTCACTTTTTCTTTATTGACTTTGTCGTTTTTTGTTTCCTTGTTCTTTATTATATCTAAACTCATTTCCCTCATTTGAAATGATGATATAATAATTTTGATTGGATTTTTCAATCGAAGTAGAAGACAATATATCTTGATATTTTCGATCATTCTTTAATTCAAAGAAAATTATTAAAATATGTGCAACTTAGTTCGGTGATATTCAATATTCACGATTGTTATTAGATCTTGATAAATAAGGAATTGAATTTAAATTTTCTATTTTCTTCTTTGGACATGAATTTGATTAAAGATTTATTTTATGCAATATAAATAAGAAAATAATTCATATAAGTTAAAATTTTATTCAATTTTGAATTTCTAAATATTAGAAGTTCCTCCAAATAGTTCAAACAAATAAAGATTAATAGCAAAATTTTAGTTAATTTTAAAATTATAATGTTCGAAACATAATTAAATGATAATAATTAATATCTAACATAAAATATAACGTATGTGTTATCCATCACTAATGATTATATAATCTATATATTTAAAAAATCAAATTTATACATCAGCTTAAACTCTTTGTGCACGTGTAAAAAATTTGGATTAACACTACTCACATAATCCAAAAACATAATCGACAAAAAATTGGATATTGAAAACATATTAATGATTCGTACGTGTTCAATCCTAAAAACTTAATACGAAGACAAAAAATTGCGAAAAGCTTTCGTTACAATTCCAAACGTGTTTATACTTGTAAACATAAAAGGGTCAAATTTGAGGAAAATAGGTACACGATTCAAAAAAGGAAAAAATATTTATAAGTATATTTTACTCAATTTAGATTCCTAAATGTTAGGAGTTTCTAGATAGCTTAAATAAAGAAAGATTTAATTGTATACGGTTAAAACCGCGTCCACCCGATTTTACTGTATGACCGAGACCCGGAGTTCGCATCGAAGGACGACTCTGAAGTGGATCGGATCGAGGCACGAAAACAAGGTGCCGAGATCGAAATTCGAGGCACCTGCCAAGATCGAGGCCAGCAACAATCGAGACCAAACAAGACAAGCATCGAGCAATACCGAAGATAGCGTAATAACGGCAAAGCGAGATATCCGCGACTGGTCGAAGATCATGGCAGAAATCTCGGAACGGATCGAATCAAGAACGATTGTTTAGTTAATCATGGGATTTCCTTCTGTAATTAGAATTGTACCATATATAGAATTCCTCTACTGTATAAATGGGGGTTCTAACCATTTGTAGGGGACGGATGAAAAAAGCGATTTAATTTTCTTTCTCGCACACACTCTTGTTCTTCAGTTTATTGTGTTTCTATTGTCCTTGCATCAATCAGTTCGAGGATACTCTAACTCAAGGGTTGAGTTATACTCAAATACTTGTTTGATTTACTTTATTATATAATTCTATCGTTAATCTTCATATATTTCAATTGGTATTAAGTAAAATCATGTATCCTTAAACCCACATTATAAGTTTAATTGTTATCCAATTTTAAGGATAAACATTAATAAATTAAAGTTAGCTTATTTTAAAGTCTTAAATATCATGTATGTAATTAACTTTCAATTACAATCTTGCCCAATATAAAGTCTATTTTTAAAGGGTAAAAAATGCTAACGACATTTCGCTAAGGGCCGTGTATAAGAAGTTATTCCGGACATTTATATTTCCCTTGTTTTAATGCCTAAAAAACTAAAACTAAAGAGCATAAAACCATCTCTAGCATGATCCTCTGATGATTATTAAATCATAGATCTTTCAAAATTCTTTCCAATATTATTTGCACAAAGATATTCAATTTTACAGAAACAATCAATTCAAGGAGCAAAGTGCACCAGGAAACTGCTTGACGAAAATTCTAGTGGACATATTGACCAAAGATAAAACTTTAGGGGTTAAATCATTAATTCCCAAATTGTGAATCGAGGTATTTGGGCCATTTGAATGTGTCATAAATTCAATCACAAATTATCACTACAAGAAAATGGCAAAGTCAAGCTTGAAGAATGCTTTAATAATAATCCTATCGGCGATAAGTATGGCATGTTCTACGGATTTGTGCAAAGTGATCGAATCACCAGAGTATACAGTGGTGCACTCAAAATAAGATTTTTAGATCAGACGTTACAAGGAGTCGGTATGGATGACGGCACCCGTCAGCGAAATCTCCTTTGAGAAAGCCACCAGAGACGGTTTTCACAGGCACCCCTTTTTATGGTTTTTTCGAATGGTTTACTATTACTTCTTGTTTTTTACTGATTAAATGGGTAATTTTTACTGGTTACAATAATTGGAGTTACCTATTGAGGGTTAACAATCCTTCCCCTTTATTTCTCTTTGTATGATGCCTAATTTTGTACCCCAATTTTCT